AGTTGATAATTTTTAGACATAGGGTATCCACTCCCTAGTCTCTTTTCCAACATAGGGTCTCTACTCCCTAGTTGATTTTTTTTTAGACATAGGGTCTCCACTCCCTAGTCACCTTTTCCAACATAGCTCTACTCCCTAGTTGATTTTATTTTAGACATAGAGTCTCCACTCCCTAGTCACCTTTTCCAACATAGCTCTACTCCCTAGTTGATTTTTTTTTAGACATAGGGTCTCCACTCCCTAGTTGATGATTTTTCAACATAGGGTATCCATTCCCTAGTTGATGATATTTTAGACATAGAGTCTCCACTCCCTAGTCTCTTTTCAAACATAGGGTCTCCACTCCCTAGTTGATGATTTTCCAACATAGGGTCCCCACTCCCTAGTTGATGATTTTTAGACATAGGGTCTCCACTCACTAGTTTATTTTCCAATATAGGGTCTCCATTCCCTAGTTGATGTTTTTAGACATAGGGTCTCCACTCCCTAGTTGATGATTTTCCAACATAGGGTCCCCACTCCCTAGTTGATGATTTTTAGACATAGGGTCTCCACTCCCTAGTCGTCTTTTCCAACATAGAGTCTCCACTCCCTAGTTGATTTTATTTTTGACATAGGGTCTCCACTACCTAGTCGTTTTTTCCAACATAGGGTCTCTACTCCCTAGTTGATTTGATCTTAAATGCAGGGTACACCATTCCCCGATATCTTTGCCAATATAGGGTATCCCATTCCCTTGCCACATTTTTCCAACATAAGGTACACCAATCCTTAGTTGAGACATCCTTTTGACAATAAAAGAACACAATCCAATAAAAAAATATATGACATTTTCAGGGTACACCACTCATGACCTTTTATTGCTTCCAATAAAGAAGTAGTTTAGAATTTTGTTACAATAACTCACGAAGTTTTTCTAGTGCAAACTGGGGTAGAAAAATTTTGTTCGATTGTTTGTTTTGGTGTCTGAGTAGGTTTTACCTCGAGGCACAGGGTTCGAGATTACCAAAAGAAGAAGTCTCAATTCAGAATAAAAGAAAAAAAAAGTGAATCCAAAATGCAAAAGCAATTAAAAAGATGTGGAATGCTAAGACATGACTAAAGCCACGAGCATTGGAGTCGCGGTTTGATTAGAAGAAGTTATAGAACAATGAACTAGAACCTACAGCTAACGAGCATCAAGGTTTATTTCAGAGTCTGCATGAAGAACTAGTCAAGACTCAAGATCAAGTATCTGAAGACTCATAGATATGAATCTTGTAACTCATGATTGATAGGCTTGTTTAGTTTTTTTATTATTTTGATATAATAGCAGGACCGCGGACCGGAGTCTCGACGAAACCTCACTCGACTCCTCAACTCATCATTCCACCATTCTCCTTGAATTACACGCGACCTGATTCCCCTATAACTCGGGATATGTAGGCTGTCCAAAACCAGGACTCGGTTGCACCCTATATTTTATTTCTTTTCCTTTTGAATAATGGTTTGGTCAAAAATTAGTCACGTGGCTCACCTAATCTTTGCCTGAAAACTTTTCATGTTTCCAAGCAAAGAGGGGCAGTTGTGAGCACCTAATTTTTGACTATATTTGAATTTTTATCACCTTCTACCATGTAAATATTTTCAGAATTTAATATATATATAGAAAAATAATTAATAATTTAAAAGGTCAATTATTACTATTAGTATTGTTTTTATCTTTATTTTTAAATAAAATGAATTAAAAATCGAAAATAAATAAAAATTAATTATTATAAATATTTTTAAAAAAAACAAATTTCGGATGGGAATTAAAAAATAGGAAAATTATAAATATAAAATTGAAAAGTAAAAGTAAAAGTAGGTAGAAATTGTTTAATAAAAAAAAGTAAAAAAAGTGGAAAATTAAAAAAATAAAAGTAAAAGAATGTGAAAATTTAAAAAATGAAAAGTAAAATAAAGTTGGAATTAAAAAATAAAAGTAAGGGTATCTGAGTTTTTTTTTATAAAGAAAAAGTAAGTGGGAAATAAAAAAAGAAAAGTAAAATAAGTGGAAAATAAAAAAAGAAAAGTAAAAAAGTGAGAATTTAAATATATTAAAAGTAAAAAAAAAGTGAGAAATTAAAAAATAAAAGTAAAGGAAAGTGGGGAATTATTTTTTTTAAAAAATAAGAAAAATGGGAAGTTAAAATTTTTTTTAATTAAAAATAAAATAAAAAAATAAAAATCTGAAAATTCCGAATTTTTTTTCTATAAATAGAAGATAAATGTGATGAAAAAAAGAGAGAGAGAGAGAAAGGAAAAAATAGGGAGGAAGGAATTGAGAAAGATTTATTTTCTTCTTCTAGGATAAGAAAATTTCTACTCGTGTCATTCTTTCTTCGTCTTTCTTTCGAAAATCCAGCCTAAAATTCCAGCAAAAAACCAACACCTAACAACTCATCTTCCTCTATGAACCACCAGCTGAAACTTACCCAAACACTAAAACAAAAGAGTTTTAGTCAAGGTTCTCTATACCGTTTCCGGTTGTGATTAGTTCGTACAATAGTCCATCAGAGCTTTGTTCATGTTGTACCGAAGAATATTTAGCTATTGAAAGGTCCATTTCTTGTTCTCCAGTTTTCGGATTCCAATTCATATTATGTTTGCTATAAATTTGAATGTTTTTTTTTCTGTTTTACTTAAAGATTGATTCGCGATTGGTTTACTGTTTCACTTGTTATTTTTTAAGGATATTTTAGTCTAATTGCTTACTGTTTTTAGTTTTAGTTAATTAGCATGCCTTGAAGTCCTTGGTTAATTCTTTTGGTGTTAAGACGTGAGTTTTGCTTCACCGGTGTCGTTATTTTAGAATGATTGTTAGTGCTAAGAATATGGGCTCAAAGCTTAATTAGTAAATGAATTATTTCATAATTGGGCCATACACTAATATCTTGAAAGATGAGTTGGACATTCACATGAAATGATTGGGCTTTAGGAATTACTTTTTAATGATAAGTACGATTGGGTTAATTAATATATTACTATCACTTGGGGCATATTCTATAGATTATAAGATGAATTGAAAGAGCATTTTGGTCATCAAGTACTAAATGATCCATTAGCAATTAAGACATGTCATCTACAAATAAATTTCATAATCTATGGCCTTCACAATAATCTCAAATTAGTTTAGGAAGATAGACTCATAAACATTCGTAGCTTGCTTTAGGCGCGATTAATAAATCATCGTGACTATAGGTACGGTTTCCGTGGTATAGTCACGATATGTAAACCCAACTTAAGTGCGCGTTTCACGCGACTTGACCATAACTTCAGATAATAATAAAAATAAACATGTTGTAAATCGCGGGTGCGTTTCACGTGGCGTGGTTTGCAATGTGTACCAAAATGATAAGTGTGCGACATCGCGACTTGTTCAAATAAATTCCATAAATATTAAAAAGCGGTAAAAGACAAAAAATATACAATGGGTTTAAAACATGTAATAAATCAGATAATTACGCCAAGTATTAATTGTTAAGCGACCGTGCTAAAACTACGGAACTCGGGAGTGCCTCACACCTTCTCTTGGGTTAACAGAATTCCTTATCCGGTCTTCTGTGTTCGCGGACCAAAAATAAGAGTCAAATTTTCTCGATTTGGGATTCTAAAATAAACCGGTGACTTGGGACACCATAAATTATTTCAAGTGGCGACTCTGGCTGAAAGAAATAATCACATTTCGAATAATGTCACTAAAATTGGAAAAACTCCCTATCCCCTATCCCTCGGGAAAAAGGAGGTGTGACACCAAGCACATGTAGAAATTGAAAACCCAAATAAATAAAGTTCTTTCAATCCAAGAATCACACATAAAGATCTCCTTCCATATTTTTAAACGTGATTANTATATATATACAAAATTCCAAAAATCTAAGAAAAAAAGGATAGTTTTCAATGGGTATGGTTGAAATTCATTCAAAACATATAGATGAGTCAATATACAAAATTTGAGTAAGATTAGAGATGATTTGGACCGATTTGATATCAAAATTCGTAGCTAAAATCGAGTTAAAAAAATTCTTTTGCGACACATGTATCAAACATGTATCACGCATGTATCTCGTACACAGGTATACATGTGATACCCAAATGATATACAATGTGATACACATATTATTTTTTTTCATGTTTATCTTCTACGTCGAATTTTCAATTCAAACTACCTCAAAACTCCACCACATCATCCCAAAACTGAGATTCAAGCTCCTTAAGATGTACGCAATCTATTCTAATATCACACACTCAAAAAAAGAAGAAGCAAATATTTGACTTTATTTTGGCTACAAATAACTAATTGGCTAATATTAGTAATATTTTATGAATTGACTAATTTTTGTAATAAGCTACTTATAAATAAACATTGTTGGTAATTTCCCAATTTAAAAGGAAACATTAAGAGAGCTTAGGTGCAAACTGAGTCATTGTTCAATTAATTTTTCTTAAATTTTAAATTAATTAACCTTAAAAGATTAAATTTAGACTACCTAAATAAAAATTATATAAAGCTAAGGTTAAATCTATCTTACTTTAATAAATTTAAAAAGGTGGAAAGTTGCCCTTTAAAATTGCTCAACTTTACTCTTCATTAAACCTTTTGATCCATTCATATGTTTACTGACATCAAATCATCTTGTATGTGTCTTGCTATTAACGAAACTCTGGCTTGAAATGGCGTGTTCAAATTTAACTTTCAACTTTTAGTTAAGATATTTTTTATTGTAGCTCCGTTAAAGATCAAGAGCAAAAACTAACTTTATTTTCCTAACAATTCAGATAATATTAGATAAAAATTTTATTACAAAATTGCTTAATGTTGGATCAAGGACAAATTTGAGACTTTTACATTAATAAAATTGGTGGATAATAAAACAAGTGAATTTTAAAAATTCTAAAATAGGTCCATCTAGTGGAGTTTGGGTCTAATCTCACATTCCCAAAACTTCTCTTTGCTCTAAACCTAAATTCCCAATTTTGTCCATAGACCCTTCTAGTTGTAGGGCATTATATACTGAATACTCTGAGCCGAATCAAAGTTTTCTTCAGTTCAGAACTGCACAAAACTCTGCACAAAAAAAATCCAAGAGACCATAAGAGAGATCTAAAAACATGTCATCCAAGATTATGCTGAAGGCTAAAGGGAAGACCACCAAAAAGGCAGCAGCAGCAGATGAGGACGACGGAGCAGTGGCGGTGGTGGGAAAATTCGTGAAGGAGTGGGGCACATGGACTGCAAAAAAGGCCAAAGTCATAACCCATTATGGTTTTATCCCACTTGTCATCATCATTGGCATGAATTCTGAACCCAAACCCTCTCTTTCTCAGCTTCTTAGCCCTGTCTAAAACCCCTTTTCTTGTGAGGTTATTTTGGGTTGGGATGGGGGGTATGATATTAGTCGATTTGACTTTTATTTGCCAATATTATTGTTTAGAAGTTTTGTTTTTTGTCTTTTTAATGTTCTGTTGATGCTAATGGGTTGTGAAACTTGAAATAAAGAAGTTATCTTTTTAGCTGGATCACCTTGATATTGATCAGTTATAATTTTTGTTGTATATGAGTAAAATTTTGGTTTTGTGGTGTGTACTCTTAAGAAGCTTCAGTTCCTCTTGAATTTTGATGCACTAGAGCTTTTGTTTTTAATTTCTAATGCTGTGCCTTCGTTATTAAGCTGGTGGGTTTGTTAAATTGTATATGTGTTTTCTGTCGTATCTCCTCATGAAACATTAGTTTAACTATGCAAGTTGACTTTGAAGGCATTTTTTGGTAATTAATTAGGGGTGGGGAAGGTTGTTTATCATTGTAAAGCGTTGGGAGAATATGCAATCACTGTTGAGAATCGGTTGGTCAAGATTTATGGAGGACATGATTGAGGATGACTAGGTAGCTCGTGAAATGACAGTTTCTTGGCCGTTCATACTTGTTTATTTGGTCTTTTGGTCATGATACTTCAGCCGGTGGTAACTGGACCTATTTTTCGAGTTACCCAAGGGTTTGGCCAAGTGGTCAATGAAGTGAATGCATACCTTAGAGACTAAGGTTTAAATCGACAAAAAATATTAGGTGATTTCTTTTCACCTTGGCGGGAAGAATTATTACCTGGTGGTGGAGTAGTCGAGATGTGCTAGCTGGCCTGGATACCATTAGGAAGAGGGACCTTCACTAAGCATGTTTTTATTTGACTCGATAAACTGGCTTGCTGGTTGTGATTGATCCACACTCTTGATCAATTTTGATTTGAGTTGTGTCTGAGTCAATTTTGGCTTTTGCGAAGTATGAGTAATAGCCCTTTTTGGTGTATATACCCTGATTGATAATCTTGGGGGTGGGTGGGGATATATTTATCAATTTGACTATTGTTGGACATATTGGTTTTTGTTTTTGGTGCAATGAAACTGTGATTTTTACTTGTAATGATGTTTTCGTACTAATGGGTTGTGAAACCTGAAATGGAGGAGTTAGCTTTTTTTTAGCTGGATCTCCTTGGTATTGATCAATTTTAGTGTTGTGTATGAGTAAATGTTGGTTTTGTAGTGTATACTGGTAAGACGTTTCGATTTCCTCTTGAATTTTCATGTACTCGGGTTTGTGTTTTTAGGGTCTAATACTATGATGTTGGTTATTAAGCTGGTGGGTTTGTTAAAATTGTAATTGTGCTCTCTGTTTTATTTCCTCATGATATTAGTTTAACTATGCAATTTGGTATTTTGAAGGCATTTTTCTAGTAATAGCCAAGTAAAACAACTAATTAGGGGTGGGGAAGGTTGTTTATAATTATGATGAAGCGTTGGGAGAATTTGCAATGAGTGTTGAGAATCGGTTGGTTAAGATTCATGGAGAACATGACTGAGGATGAATTGTCAGCTCGTGAATTGACAGTTAGTTGGCTGTTCATACTAGTTTATTCAGTTATCTGGTCATGATATTTTATCAAGTGCTAACTAGATCTATTTTTTCGGGTTTAGCCAAGGGTGTGACCGAGTGGTGAATGAAGTAGGTGCAACCTTCGAGAAGAGGGTTCAAACCAGAGAAGACAAAAGACATTAGGTGATATCTTCCCATCTGCATAAGCCTTTGTCGAGCAGAGTTATCCAGTTGTTGGTGGGAGGTAATAAGTGCATGGTAGAATAGTCGAGGTGCACAAGTTGGCCTATACACCACTGTTACAATAAAAAAAAGGTTGGGTTTCCTGCATCCATGTGATTTCTGGAAGAGGGACCTTCTAAGCATGTTTCTATTTGACTCAAATAAATTGGTTTTCTGCTCGTGGCCGATCCACATTCTTGAATATTGGATTTTGATGTGTTGAGTTTGTTTTACCATCTTAGTTTCACACACATGTTTTGCAACAAGGCCAGTTTAGTACTACTATATCCTTTTAGTTTGTATAAAATTGAATACGCAATTTGGATTCTTTTTTTGCTCTGGTGCTTTATAGGAAGGTTATGCTTGTATTCTGCTAAGAAAGCTTAAGGGCTAGTAAAATCTTTTGAGTTAATACTGTTTAGTAATATCTTTAATGTGTCTTCCTGAACCGAGGGTCTATCGGAAACAGCGTCTTTGCCCCATCGGGGTAGGGGTAAGGTCTGCGTACACATTACCCTCCCCAGACCCCACTTTGTGGGATTTTACTGGGTCGTCGTTGTTGTTTGTTGTTGCTGAAGTATATTGGTCACCATTTAGGACAATGCTCTAGTCTTGTTTGCTAGTTCTCTCGGACTGGAAAACTTTTGTGTTTTGCCCCTTGTTCTAGTTCTTCTGTTATCAAGTAGGTTGATTTGTTCGATTTTCATAATGTAAGAATCGAGTATGGTATAGTGGTAATCTATGTTCGTGCTGATTACGCTCTTGCAACTATACGGCTCTTCCAAGCTATCAGTAAGTATGGCTGAAAACATTTTGAGATTTCACTTGTAATAGGGGTATGTTCTTTTGTACAAACAAGATGCTACTTTAATAACTATCATCTATTTCGGCTTTAATTGACTATTTGATGGAGTTCCTGTTAATCTAGTTGCCTTGCCATGTCTGGTTGGTTTTGTAGCTGTTATGCTTTAGTTTCCTACCTGGTTGATGGTGAATAGTATCTTCTTCTTGTGGACTTTGGTATTTGATGTTAATTGCCTAAATTAGTGTCTGACTATTTTATTGACCACAAGTAGTCCACATCTGACTATATCATCCATCACCTACATTTTTGTTTTGAAAAGGTTCCTAGTTTTCGACCAAAGCAAGGGACTAAGTTTTTCCCTCTTTCTCTTATTCTGTGAAGTCGCAAAGTTAGATAACCTTTTAGCGTATTGTTTTTGTTTGAAAGCTAGAGAATTAGAAAGTTGTGATACTGCTAATTTCTCTTTTCTCTGTTTATGCAATTGTGTTCTTGGTTTACAACTCAGGAAATGTCATTGTTGACGGGCAATAATGTGTTGTTGCGATATATTTTTGCATACTCGGCCCTATTTTGTACAACTTTCCCGTATATATTTAAAAAGCTATTTGGATGATCAAACTCGTTGAGGAGTGAAGTAACTTTTAGCAAAAATATGTGTCCCAAATGGCTAATTTCGGGACCTAAATCGGTTATAGTGCTTGTGGGTGTCAAACATCGTAGTTAAAAATTCTCTTGTTGGGGCATTTCTTTTTTTATTCTTTTATGACACTCGGGTTTCGATTAGTTTTTGCACACCTCAATTAATTTATGGGATAGTCTATTAGTATATGTTATGGAAAACCTTATTGGAGAGGTCGTACTTTGAATGAAGTCCGACGTCCAACTCCTTGTATGGAAATTATAAAAAGGAGGGGAATGCATTACTCTCGTCAACTATTTATATGAGACTTCATAAACTTTTACAAATTCTCTGAGCTTATTACTTTCAACTTCCATGTTTTCTCATCAAAGAAAACTTTCAATTATTGTCTTTTTTTAAAACCATTTTTTAATATTACATATACTATAAGGTAGTCAAACTAATGTCTTAGCTCCATGTCTAATCAAATAGTGTGGTATAAAAAATGCGTGGCCAGGGTAGGATTATTCAGGGAACTTTTATTTTCCTATAGATACAAAATAAGGATAATATTTGTCCATTTTAGCCAGATTTTTCTATTTACAAAAAGTACTAGAGGATTTTTACAATATATATATATATATATATATATATATATATATATGGTCAAACACATATTTATATATAACTTGTATACAACTTTTTGTTGTACATAAATTCGGTCAAAATAGATAACTGACATATAACTTATATACAATTTGTATATAATATTTTATTGTACAGAATTCGATTAAATAAAACATACATACAACTTGCATACAATTTATATACAATTATGTTAGTTGAATGTATTTTGTATGTCGTTTGTGTATCCGACATATAAAATACATACTAATTTCGGAGACCTCCCCTCACGTTTCGCTCCATCATATTGGCATGATTCGTGGTTTATAATATTACGCCTACCTTCCTTATTTTACTTTCTTTATAACAATTATTTAATGCGTTAACTATTAATTAAAAAATATATTTTTTTATCATATTATAGGTGCTTTTTATGTGACTCAAACTTCTGACTTATCCGTAGAAAATGAGATGTTTCATCAGCTGAGTCAATTCCGCTGATCTAGTAACTCATACTAGTACCTTGGATGAAGTTCTTAGTGTTGGGCTTTTAAACTTGGTGTAGCTTAAAGAGCGTGAATGAAATATTTGAGTTTTCCTCCCTCGCAAAGAGACATTGTCCCATATTGGAGGAAGAAAAGACTTTTCATGGGTATATATACAATTGCTCTTCTTCTAGCTCTTAAAGAGTTAAGAAGAAGGCAAGCCTCACGCCGTCGCTCGCTCGCTCGCTCGACTTCGGTCAAAGATTGATTGATTAATCTTTTTGGATAAAATTCCTTTCAATTATTTAATTAATTAACAAAAATTCAATCAGGATTAATCCAGAACCCGCGACGCGATCCGATCCGTTTTCTTTTCCGGATTATTTTAAATTCGTTTTCTGTTTTCATGCAATATTTCTGTTGAAATATTCCCACATGTTCCAACAGCTATGGCTGTTTCTGAAAGGTTGCAAACCTTTTCAAAAACAGTGCCAAATAGTCTATAAATATGCCTTGAATCCCAGAATCTTTACTTACTAAATTTCCTGATTATCTTCTTCTTCTTCTGGACAATATTTTTTCCAGTGTCTTTTACGACCATTGAGTGGTTTGAAGTTCACCCGCATTTTTTGTACCAATACACTGGTGAGTTGAATCGTTCTATCCTGGAAGGATAATATTCCAGCACCTCAAGTACTTGAGGGGAATAATTTCCTTAAGGACGTATTGTACATTCAATGGGCTCGATTTATTCCGATATTATTTTTCAGAATTTATTTCGTCAAACTGGTTCTACTAACTTTCTGTTTCTGTTTCTATTTCAGAAAGTTTAATATTTTTATTGTTTATTACAACAATACAGATTGAATAGCAATCTTAAGGAAATTATTTTATTGTATTCTGTATTCTGTTTGTGGAGATTAAAACCTGTGTGATTTTCTATTCCTTCTGAATTT